TTTCCAAATAATTTGAAAAACAGTAAATCAAACAGTTCTAGTGTGACATAATTTATTAAGGCAGCAGTTCTCAAAGTTTTCGACCCATGCACGTTTTAAAAGTATTGAGGATCCAAAGAATTTGTGTTTCTATAGGTTACTACTATTAATATTTACCTTATTAGAAGTTAAAACTGAAAGAATATTTATTAATTCATTTTAAAATTACAATAAACCCTTTTCAACATACATATTTTATGAAGATAGCTATATTTTTCAAAATTAAAAAATTAGTAAGAAGATTAGCACTGTTCTATATTTTGCAAGTATCTTTTAAATAAGTTTCAGGATAATTGTGAAAATAATTTTAGCTTCACAGACCCATTAAAAGGATCTCGGGGACCCCCAGGGGTCCCCAGACCACATTTTGAGAATCACTGCCTTTAGGACAAAGAGAAAGCTAACATTTTATTTATTTATTTAGTAACCACATTGTTGGTGGTAGTGTTGGGGATGGCTGTGGCAGAAGCTGGTACACAGGACAATTTGAGAATGCCTTGCGAATTAGTGTTTGGATTGATTTCCAACAATGGCAATCATTAAAATGCAATTTGCTCTCCTGAAATTTTAGTGAACAAAGCATCAGCGAGTTTCTCAGGGAGCTCTTTTTTGAGACTTGATCCTATAGCATTGCAGGAGGTGGAGTTTCCCCTAATATAAGTACAACAGAACCCTAAGACTGTAAAGCCAGGCACTTTCTGGAGAAGATGCTCATCTCAGTGACATAGGGCACAAAGACTTTGGAAAAGATGAAGAGTGAGACACACCAGGTAAACTTCTTATTCAGCTCATCATAGTATTTGTTCCAATTGCTTATTATGGATTCATGGCTTTTATATGCTGAATTTATTCCAGTAAACAACTACAACTGTCCTGTTTGTTTAGTTTTAATTCTCAAGTTAGCACTACTTACACCGTGGGGATTCTTTCAGGCTTTCTTGCCACTCTCATCTTAACTCTCTTTATTGTTACTCCAAACATGGGAGATCATCCTTGCTTTCAGTCAGCATGGTGTTCTAGACCCAGCAGAATTTCCCTTGTCTCAAAACTTGTAATCAGTTCCTCTTCAAGGAATTTAGTTTCTTGAATAGAGGTGGAAATCTCCATACCAGGGTTTATGTTAGACTGTTTTGCGTGATGCACCTGGCTGCATCAGATGACTTTGAGAACACTATGATGACAGATTAAAAACCCTGTTTTTAAAGGCTAAGTGCCTGTTACTGTTTCCACAGAAAGTCCTTTATCTTGTCCCCAAATAAATTTTTTTTTCAATCAAACTCACTTTTCTTCTTGAGCTGATAGCTTCACTCTTCTCTGCCATATAAAACATCACCTCACCAAGGTTAATTTACTAGATTTTGGGCTGCTTATCTAAACAGTGTGTTTAAAAAACAGTATTATTAAAAATTTTATAAAACATACAATGGACTTTTATCCAGGTATATATTTCTAAGATACACATAATACATTAGTAATTTTAATATTTCACTTTGAGCTTTTAGAAGAATTAATATAGTCCACAGCTCATAAACATGAGGATGCTCTTACTATGTTTTCTTTTTGCAATGCATTGTCCCAAATGATTCTCCCAGTCATTATCATCTGTACACCAGTTATTTTAAAAGAGAATGAAATTTTAATTTTTCCAACACTTTCCACTTTCTGATTATTCTATTAATTCCATTAAATATAATAAAAATATAATAGAAATTAAAACTTAATATATATGTGTGCATGTATAAAGTATATCCTGGCTAATGGAATGGTATAGCTAAAAATCTCAAAGGTTTGGCTCTATACTCTCCATCTCACTGCTGTTCTGTACCAAGAGCCTAAAATAATCAGACACTAGACAGTCAATGCTTTTATATTTTTTGTCACCCTCTTGGAGTAAGAGTGTTGGAAAAATTAAAATATAACATATTTTAGTAATGTGTGTATAAGTAAAACATATTTTATGTGTATATTATATGTATATGCATAAATATATGTACATATACATACATGCACACACTCATATTATGGTATAATTATTTTAATTGCAGGCAGCATTGAATTTCAATTTCTTAAATTTTTGGTCAAATACAGCTATTTGGCCAAATACAAATACATTAAAACATACAGAGTTATCTTAATATTTCACTAGTTTATTTTCAAGATATCAGTTTAAAATGTTGGGGAAGAAAGAGTAAATTAAAACGAAGCTACAGTCAAATTAATACAATCAAATTAATATCAATAATTATTTTTTAGGGGCTTCCCTGGTGGCGCAGTGATTATCCGCCTGCCAATGCAGGGCACAGGGGGTCCAGCCCTGGTCCGGGAAGATCCGACACGCTGCGGAGCAACTAATCCCATGCACCACTACTACTGAGCCTGCGCTCTAGAGCCTGCGAGCCACAACTGCTGAGCCCGCGTACCACAACTACTGAAGCCCGCGCGCCTAGAGCCCATGCTCTGCAGCAGAAGAGGCCACCGCAGTGATAGGACGGTGCACCGCAGCAAGGAGTGGCCCTTCTGGCCGCAACTAGAGAAAGACCACGCGCAGCAACAAAGACCCAAAACAGTCAAAAATAAATAAATACAATGAGCATCTGAGGTAGTATTTGTTGGTCTCATTCCACACATGAGGAAAATAAGGCAAAAAATAAAATAAAATTAACTTAGCAATGTTATGCACATAAAATTTCTTTAAAAAATTACTTTTTAAAAGTTCAGTGTAGGGATTCCCTGGTGGCGCAGTGGTTGAGAGTCCGCCTGCCTAATGCAGGGGACATGGGTTCGTGCCCCGGTCGGGGAAGATCCCACGTGCCGCAGAGCGGCTGGGCCCGTGAGCCATGGCCGCTGAGCCTGCGCGTCCGGAGCCTGTGCTCCGCAACGGGAGAGGCCACAACAGTGAGAGGCCCGCGTACGGTAAAAAAAAAAAAAAAGGGAAAGTCCAGTGTTACATTTATACAATGTCACGTACCAAATTTGAGTGGGATATTTTTACACAGTTCATATTCTCAAAACACTGTTCCACAAGAACCAACTAGTAAAAGACACTGATATACTTGAGCTATATTTTAGGTGCAACTCCAGAGTCACATCACATATACATATTCCTAGTATTAAATGAGGTGTAACTTTAGTTTTCTTTTTTCTTGGACATGTGCAAGGACTTTAGAAATTAAAGCAGACACGATATAAAAAGTCATTTTTTAAAGAATTAAAACATTTTAAAAAAACCTTAATTTATTAATGGATATTTTTCTTCATTCTAAGCACATGAGGAAATCCTCTGGGAAATATTTTGTCTCTATGTTTTATTATAACCTACATTAAAATTATTCTTTTTAATATGACTAATATAAAAAGTCAGAAATTTGAAACTATAAATCACCTAGAAAAATAATATAATACACTTTGCAAAGATGTAGGTCATACTTATTAATTCTGAATTTAAGCCCTTAAGCAAACATTCAAAGTAGTTTCCCCATCGTAAGACTTCAGTCCTTAAGAGACTTTTCATGGCTAGTCACTCATTTGTCTTAGCATACTGCAAATTAAACATATTAGGTCACTTATGCATTTTCATATGCAATATGAACAAATGGTAATTTTTGCATCAAGTGGTCACTTTGTAGAATAACATACTTTTTGGGGGAAGCATTTCCATGCTGATTCCCTGTAAAGACTAAAATAGGTTTAAATATGCCATTCATTCCTAAGGGCCTAAAATGAAGAGATGGATTTTGGTTTCCCGAACTGAGGATAGGGAAACAGCCCTTCTCTATTTTTAAAAAATTTATTCCGATTAATAGAGAAACAGTAAATGCAAGTGACATGCAGAAAGAAAGAAAACATGGAGAGGATCCTCACAGTAAAGGCAGGAGTAGGACCTAATCCCTCCCATACAGAGAAATTTCACTCAGAGAAATTAGGGAGTGGAGAAAATGGCAGAGTTCTTCCAACAAAGCCGCGTGGCCCATAAATCTCCCAATTAGGATAGTCTCACGAGGGACACCGTTGGTAAACTTCAAACTGCGCGCGCAGCGTCTGGATTGGCTATCGAAAAACGTGGCACCTGGTTGATGTGTGCGATAATTTGAATTGGATTCTCACTTCCATTTGTTTTTCTTCTGCCTTTCTAACTTAATATTTGGTAAACCCAAACCCAGGGAAAGGGGAGGAGAGCCAGTACCTCTCCCCAAAGGAAACATAAGTGAATAAAACGATTGGTACCTTTCTTACTGTGTGCCAAGCAATTCATTAGTCAGGTATGTAAACGTTAAAATTAAGGATGGAAGGCAGTGGTTGAGTCCGCCTTCCTAAAGCAGGGGACACGGGTTCGTGCCCCGGTCCGCGAAGATCCCACATGCCGCGGAGCGGCTGGGTCCATGAGCCATGGCCGCTGAGCCTGCGCGTCCGGAGCCTGTGCTCCGCAGCGGGAGAGGCCGCAACAGTGAGAGGCCCGCGTACCACCACCACCACCACCACCACAACAACAACAAAAGTTAAGGATGGAGTGCTCAAGCCATTGTTAGCAAAATCTTTTGCCGGGTTCAAACTTAAAGGCGAGCGGATTTTCCTTTGGGACAAAGTGCATTTTGCCTTCTTCACTACGTGTGTCTGATAATGAACCTCCCCCTTCTCGACATAAAAACATATAAAAATGTCTCGAGTATTGCTGCAGCACCACCTACATTGTAGTGGAAGTAATTTCTAACAAGATGAAAATGAGGAAACGCGAACAGAAAGAAACCAAATGAAGACAGAAAATGACCATCTGCAAACCAAAGAAAGAAGCCTCAGAATAAACCACCCCTGCAAATCTTGGCCCTCTAGCTTCCAGAACTGCGAGAAAATAAATCTGTTTAAAGACAAAAAAAAAAGGAATCGCGGAACTTGTTATACTTTGCACCAAATAACAAACACCTGCTGCATAAAGTGAGTGCCACTTCTCTTCAGAAGATTGAGTGGCTCTGAAAAGAGCCTTTGGGGTGTGGGCCTAGCCTTACCGCTCGCTCCGCTGCGGCCTGGCTCATTTGGAGCTGGTGTACTTGGTGACGGCCTTGGTGCCCTCGGACACGGCGTGCTTGGCCAGCTCGCCGGGCAGCAGCAAGCGCACGGCCGTCTGGATCTCCCTGGAGGTGATAGTCGAGCGCTTGTTGTAATGCGCCAGGCGCGACGCCTCGCCCGCGATGCGCTCGAAGATGTCGTTAACGAACGAGTTCATGATGCCCATGGCCTTGGACGAGATGCCGGTGTCCGGGTGGACCTGCTTCAGCACCTTGTACACGTACACGGAGTAGCTCTCCTTGCGGCTGCGCTTGCGCTTCTTGCCGTCCTTCTTCTGAGCCTTGGTCACCGCCTTCTTGGAGCCCTTCTTCGGAGCCGGAGCAGACTTGGAGGGTTCAGGCATGGTGCGGAGTTAACAGCCAAGCAGTTCAAAAATAACAGGAAGAACAAGAACCAGGCTGAGCCCTCTTCCTTTACAGCTTCTTAAACAAAGGAGGCAATGAGTAAAGTCGAGCGTCTGATTGGTGGTGAATCCTTGAAACGGCACGTAACAGTTTTGTCCAATCAAAATAAGTGTATTTCAAAATCCGATTTCATTGGGTTAAATAAAACTAGTTTTAGCCAATGGTACACCTTCATTTTCGCGCCCAGTGAAAACTATAAGTAGAGTAGCTCTCGCTATATCTATTCAGACCTAACTCATATTGGTGGGTTTTTACTTTCGTTATGTCTGGACGTGGTAAGCAAGGAGGCAAAGCTCGCGCCAAGGCCAAGACTCGCTCCTCGCGGGCTGGGCTCCAGTTCCCCGTGGGCCGAGTGCACCGCCTGCTCCGCAAGGGCAACTACTCCGAGCGGGTCGGGGCCGGCGCTCCGGTGTACCTTGCGGCGGTGCTGGAGTACCTGACGGCCGAGATCCTGGAGCTGGCGGGCAACGCGGCCCGCGACAACAAGAAGACGCGCATCATCCCGCGCCACCTGCAGCTGGCCATTCGCAACGACGAGGAGCTCAATAAGCTGCTGGGTAAAGTCACTATTGCTCAGGGCGGAGTTCTGCCCAACATCCAGGCGGTGCTGCTGCCCAAGAAGACCGAGAGCCACCACAAGGCCAAGGGCAAGTAGAAGTAGTACATCGTTCTTTGCAACTCAAATCTTTCCAAACCAAAAGGCTCTTTTCAGAGCCACCCACCTTATCAACAAAAGGAGTTGTGCTTTCAAAGTCACTTTGTTTTGGAAAGCAAGATGCTGTTGAATATTAATCCTATAACAAAGTTTGGCTAAGTCATTTGCATCTAGGTTATTTTCCCCAGAGTACCTTAAATGCCTTCCAAAAAGCAAAACATTTGCTTACATAATTTAGGTTAAACTTATGAGCAAAATTAACATCCCTGTGATTCCTCTACGGGGGCAAATGTCCAACTGAGACAAAAAACTTAGCATCATACGACTTTGGCCTACCTTCCCTTCTAATTCAATTCAGTCTTACTGCGCACCACACACCCTCCTAAATGGGAATAGAGTAGTAATCCAGACAGGTAAATTACTTGTTTAAAAGTAACTTCAGGCAGAGAATACATTTCATAATGGACTGTTTACACATCAATGATGGTGAAGTAAAGGCGGTTTGGAACTGCATTAGGAAGAGGGTGTGCCTTAACATAGGAAAGGTCGACATTGTAAATCACTTATCAGGTTCTTATAGTCCTAGTGCTGTCAATGATTTTTGCTTCCCCTTTACCCCACCATCATCGCTCTCACCTTCTCTCAGATCACCAAGTCACCCTAGCTAGAGAGGGCCTTCAATTCCTCTCCACATCAGCTCATGTGTAGTTTTCCTTATGAATACATTTTACTGAAAATGAATTTCTATGGCATTCCTAGTCCATTAGAATAGGTTTTCTGAGTCTCCTGAAATATTTGTTTTATACACACACACACACACCACACACCACACACACACACACCACACACACACACACACACCACACACACACACACACACACACACACAGGCCCTCTGCAGTGGAAGTGCCTAGTTCTAACCATTGGACTGCCAGGGAATTCCCAGTATATCCTATATTTAAATCTGAACCTCAATCACATGTAAATAATATTCCTTGGAATAAAAGTGACCTCAGCAATCACAAACAGGACGTAAATGTTACCTTTTTTCCCTTCTCTTTTTGGCTTCATTATTTGATGTTGGAAGACCCGAATCCTGATTTCAGTGAATCTAATTATTCAATTTTTCCCTCTTAAAAACTCATCTGCGGGACTTCCCAGGTGGTCCAGTGGTAAAGAATCCGCCTTCCAGTTCAGGGGACACGGGTTCGATCCCTGATTCAGGGAACTAAGATCCCACATGCCACATGCTGCTGGACAACTAAGCCCGCGTGCCGCAACTAGAGAGAGAAAACCGGCACGCCACAACTAGAGAGAAGCCCGCGTGCCGCAACGAAAGATCCCGAGCACCGCAACTAAGACCCGACGCAGCCAAAAAATAAAAATAAAAAGGAAAGTCATCTGCATTACTTGAGTTTGTATATTTTAAACAACTATATCTCAGAAGTAGAACTGTCGAGTAAGTGATACAGCTCCAAGGAAGGCCTATGTGTTCTTTCAATTTTTAATAATAAAATATGCTGTTGTTATCGTTATTGATATTGATCATGCAATTACTAACACTTGCTTCATTGCAACATTCTGTTCCCCATGGCAAGAACCACCACATTGTTAAAATAATGCCTTTACAATTATTGATGTGGTTTTGATTGATAAAATCAATGAACCTATAATCAAATAGTTGATAAATGAATATAAATTTTTGTTTTAAATAAAATAAAATATTCAAGTGTGATATGTCATTGCTTATAATTCCACGTGTTAACTGAGTTTTTTAAATTAATGGACTATTAACCCAATTTCATTGGATAAAGCACTTACTGTTCTTTACTATTTACATAATCAGAAAAAAAGTAAAACTTGTATTTAAAAATGGAGATAACAAAACTTTCCAAAAATCTTGCCAAAATAATTTAGGTATTTCTAATTTCAATTAGATCCTGAAGAACTTTTTAGGACTCCATAGTTTATACTGTAAAGTTGTTTTCATAAGAGGTACAGTTCAATTTTAGTAGCACAAGATTTATGAAAGTATTATTTAAACTTTATTCCTGGAGTTGGTCTTCCCATTAATTTCCCTTTCTGCAGACTCTGGACTACCATGAAAGAACCTCACAGTATCTTCCCATATTAGATTTGTTGTATATTGTCGGGGAGCAAGGATTTTCCTCTACCCTTCTAAGGTTCTTTTAGCTGGCCTAATTATCATATTGACATGAGATAGATTAACAGGAGAAAGTCGAGTTTAATTTCATACATACGGAAACCCCACATACATGAGAAGTTCAAAAACAGAAAGGTAAATATGCCATCCTGAGCTAAGGAATGGCTTAGTGGCTTCCAAGCACAAGAGGATAATTCACATGGACAATAAGAGGGAAATCAAATATTGGGTAATTAGTTTGCCCTGCCATGCAGCTGGCTCACTCAGATAAAATTTTTCTCCGGTAATAATTCTCATAGTGGGAAAGACCCCCAATTCAAATCCTTCTAAGTAGTTAAGGGAGGGACAGAAGTTTATCTTGAGATTGCAGGATCTCAATTGCCTTTACCTCAAAATAATCAATGTGCAAATGTGGCACATTTTGGGGAGCTCATTCTGAACACTTTTGGTATCTTATCCATTAGTGTATAAATTCCTTTAGAGTGGAGACTGGGTTTTATTCATATTTGCATATCCCCAGATCCTATTTCAATGACAAGCCCATAAAATATAGTCCAAAAATTCTGTTAATTCTATAATAATAAAAATCCTTATAAACTAAATAAGTGATATAAATAAAGGCAAAAAAGAAGTTGAAAGTTAAACAAGGATGAGATCATATGGAGGGAAATGTAGGGATTTTCAAATGAATAACTTCAAAGTAGCTAAACTGGAGGAAGGAGCCTAAAGATCAGAGGGGTCCAACGATCAAAGACCAGTTGTAAAGAGTTACACTGCCTTTTCAATTCATGATATTAATTTATCTGTAAAAAAATTGATCTGCATGACCTTATTAATTTGGTGTACCTCCTACTTCCTTCTCCAGTCTAGCAACAGTCTCACATTTAAATAAATGCTACTGATGTTAATGAATATTAGTTACCTGGTGGAATAATGAAGACACTGAATGATTTTGGGGACCAGTAACTTGGAAGAAGGCAGGGACGGTAGGGACTCTGGACAAGGGGCAGACACTAAGTACAGAGAATTAGGGAGCCTTCAACAATACGAATCTCTGAGGTTCCCAAACAGTGCCTTTCCCCTAAGGTTGTTTTTTGTGGTTTTTATAAATTTCTCCTCTTCCAGACCTTTATCTATGCTTACTATTTCAATTGTTTATATGAAAACACTAGTTTCACTGGTTCTGTGGCTGACACCCTGCTGTAATTTAAAAAAAAAACAAACAAACAGACTAACAAGAGAAAAACGAAGTGTAATACTGTGTACGTCTCATGTATACATGGAATAAACAGAGGGGAACTGAGTAAAACTCCCAGAAGTGGCCCGAACCTCCACTTTAAATATCATCTTCAGCTAAGGACAAAAGACATGGGTGTGTGGTGGTGGTTGGGGGGGGGCTGTTGGAGGTGACCCGGAAGAGCACAGTAAACAAGGGGAGGCCGATTAAATCCTGCACCTTCTCCATTAGTAAGTTTCTTGCGAGTAATCTTTCTCTTTCTGGCACATTGTGTGAGATACCCTTACAAATGGAGATTTATCATATAACTGTAAATTTCCCTTAAAAAGGGGTAAATTCTATTCTGTTTTTAGAGCTTCTGTATCTGCTTTTTCTCAGAAACAATTTGCTCTAAATAATCCTTATGCTAAAGGATATTTGGGAGTGGCGTATTCTGCTATCCTTCATTAGAAATGTCAGTATAGTATATACCCAAGTAGAGTGAAGAAGTAATTTTTCCTTAAATGGAAAAAAAATGATTTATAAAAAAAAACAAAAAACAAAAAACTGGCTGCTAGGGAGTTTGTTAAAACTGTATTAAAGAGCATTCATAAGAATAACAAGCAGACATAAAAAATGTATTTTCTCTTTAAATAAGGGAAATTGGTTAAATGTAATCAAAGAGGTTCCAAAATGCCATTTGCGGCATTGCATACATTTTCTTTGAAAGAATATGTGCTTTTATCTGTTCACCAAAATATTGATACGAAATTAGTTACCAGCAATGATCTATGTGTGGTGAGGTAACGAGTTTTACCCTTTTCCACAATATTTATGTTTTGCGTTCGCATTCAAAAACAATCGTTAAAGCCTTAAACACGGTAACAAAATAGTTACCACCGTGTGAAACAGTACAAAGGAACAAAAAAGGCTTTTTTTTTTTTTTGGTCAACTTCCCCTCCCCCCTCCCGGGGCGGGACTTCCCGCTACCTTTCTTCAGGTTCTCAGTTCGGTCCGCCAACGGACGTATAAAGGCCTGCATCTGTGAGGCCTAGAAGTTAACCTTTGTTAAACCTCTAGGTTTTCACCATGTCTGGTCGTGGCAAAGGCGGTAAGGGCCTTGGAAAAGGGGGCGCTAAGCGTCATCGCAAAGTTCTGCGCGATAACATCCAGGGTATTACGAAGCCCGCTATTCGACGTCTGGCCCGGCGTGGAGGTGTGAAGCGCATTTCTGGTCTCATCTACGAGGAGACCCGCGGGGTGCTGAAGGTGTTTCTGGAAAACGTAATCCGGGACGCGGTCACCTACACAGAGCACGCCAAGCGCAAGACTGTTACCGCCATGGACGTGGTCTACGCGCTCAAGCGCCAGGGACGCACTCTTTACGGCTTCGGCGGTTGAGTGTTCGCGCACTTTGTTCAACAAAAGGCCCTTTTCAGGGCCCTCATCTTTTCATCTGAGGAGCCGTAATGCTGGTTTGTTTTGAGTTTGCTTTTTCACGCTACACATTCTCTACACCATTGGCTCTTAGCTTTGCTCTTTACCCTTAACTGTTTAGGAGCACAACTTATACCCTTTACTGTGAAAGTTTCTTTGCTCGAGCACAGAAAGCTTAGGTGCTCATAAGCTGTGAAGCAAACGGGCCACCCAAATACATATGACTTCAGAGTTTTACCAGAGTGGTATTTCTCTTTGTAGATGGAGTGCAAGTGAATGTTTAGAAAGGGATGGAAAAGTGCACCTGGCTCCTTACTAATTCGTAGCATATTTAGTATACATAAGGCCTTACGATTTGATCACAATAACCTATTCTAGCTCCATGTGTCCTCTGCTCAAAGAACAAACCCGTGGCTGTTAAATAGGTTTTAACACTCCAGGATGGAATGCTGATAAAGGACAGGCTCACTGTAAAATCTCAGAATATTTGGTGAGGGTGGGATGTGATTAAAAGGCATTTCAACTAAATTGTAAAAGAAACAAGGTCGCATTACAGAAATGTTCTCTACGGTGAAAAAATACAGGGCAGCCCTCTAAACTAGGAGAACTAATTAAAATAAGATCCTTGGTAGAGTTTTTCCTAACAGATTAGGAAATCCAGACCTAACCTCAAAGGAGACCTTAGTATCTTCCCACAGGTCTTAGAAGCTGTAGGAAAAAACCCAAAGACAAAGGTGAAAGCTTGACTAATGCAGAGACACAGACTAAAGGACAATTGCCCACATGTACAAAAAATGAGAAAACAATGACCAGATTTACATATTTTATAGCTGAAGTTAAAAATTCCCTTGCCTCATCAGTAGTTAATCTTCATAATGTCAACTGCTAAATACTCATCTAGCCAGTCTCCCAGCTCAGGAATGTTTCCTCTTTGAAATACAATCAAGGAAGATAACACAATCTGTTCCGGAAAGAGGCCTAACTTCCCTTATCACAAGATCGCAAATTGCTAAGCCTACATAATGTTTGAATGGGTTGTACCCATTTAGCTGTATAAAAGAGATTTCTCTCTTTGCTCTGCAATCCCTTTAGCAAATTGCCTGTGACGTGCTTCACATTCAGGTTTAATGCTTATGCAATAGTAAAACTTTTCTGTTCCTACTCCCTCTTTGGAGAGCTTTTCTGAACTGGGAGATTTTGCTTTTAATTATATTTCCCCAACATTTTCTGAGGGTCTATTACTATTTGTGACTTTCCACTGATTTCTCGAATAATTTTGACAAAAGTCTCTCAGTTCTTTAAAAAAGAAAAAAAGAAAAAACCCAACAATCAAAAGAAAAAAAAATCCCTAAGGATTCTGTGTATAGTTTAAATGTTATCTAATACCCAATATTTTAGTATTTGGCTGTAGAAATCTCTTATTACATTCATAGCCTGACTTCTTTTTCATATTACTTTTTCTAAATCCAGACCCCCAAATTTTGAATATTGAAGCCATTAAGGTATTATCTATTTATATCTAAATTATTTTTGTAGTTGTGACCACTAGACCACAAGTAAGGTTTGTTCTCTCATTTATATTTGTAATGAAGCATATACAGTTGTGAGAATTGTTCTCTATATATTGTGCAATATTTGAAAAAAGAGGGCAAATCAAAAGAGGAAACTATACATCCCTAAGTTAACCAGATAAAATGTTATTGATATAAATGTTTAACGGTTATACTTTATAAGTTGGGTAGATCATAATTATATGCATATAAAAGACACAAAAAACTGCCAACAGATTTTGTTCCTAGGTATAAATACCTCTCATTTGGTGACAATAGCAGCAAATACTTTATGGCATATATCAAAGGGCACTCGGAGGTATGTCAATGTCCTCAGTATTCATAATACATATCTAAATTGGGGATTCTATCCTACTCCATACTGATAATGTTGATTAATATAATACATTGACCAGACGTGTTCTCTCTTATCATCAACAGATAGTTGCTGGTTTTCCATACAGTTATCTCTAAAGGCCCCTGCTACAAAACAGATCTGAAATTGAGTTTTCCAGAAGAAACATCAAAAGAACTTTAATAAATAACTGTACCTGATACTGTCAGGCTCTACCACAGGTCTGATTTAAGATTTTGCAAGCCGTATTAGAAGCAGGCTGCTTAACCCAAGATCAACAAAGCAATGATTAATCACTTTTTTTTTTTTGGCCACGTGGCATGAGGGGATTCTTGTTCCCCCACCAGGGATCGAACCTGTGTCTCCTTCAGTGGAAGCGTGGAGCCCTAACCACTGGACCGCCAGGGAATTCCCAAGAATTAATCACTTTGGACTGAATGAACTGATGTGATTGTGGCTAAAGGTCCTTTACTAAAACGCTTTTATACCTTCAGTTGCTATATTTTTCAAACTGACTCCTCAAATTTTAGAAAAATATTCCATTAAAAGAACTTTTGATAAACAGTAATACTTAACAATGACTTTTGAAAATATAAAATATAGATTGATTGGCTCTGTCTACAAAACAATACAGAAGAGTGATTGGATTTTATACAAAATCCTTTTTCATAGGAATGTGGTTATTAATATAGGCTTAGAACTAACCACTCCTCTTAAACAAGTAAGCCTTCATCCCTTTTTCACAACTATGTCATATTAATAAAAGACAGACCAAGTTAAACAAAAGATAAAAATTTAAATACTCTATTATAAAATACCTATCTAAAGGTCTGAGTATACTTAAATTCTTGGCTTCCTAAATATTATGAAATATGTATTTCTTATACTATTTGCAGAGATTTAATTCTGCTACAGAGAAACAAGTGTGATGGATGAAACTCATAAGATGCATTAAGTACTGTATAGATAAGTAGTTAGAAAGTAGAGCACATATGTGTTAAGTATAAGGAGAAAGGACCAGGAGGTCTGCACGATCCTTGAGGCACTAGTTATACCAGATACACCTGGACACTAAATATGCCTGGGATACATGAGGCACTAAATATTCCTGATACACTAAATATATTTGGGATATGGGTTATCCATTCTGGCCCCCATGTGTCCTTTGCCCAAGATAACACAAATAAAACCCATGGCTATTTGGCAGGCAGATTGGTGAGCAACAGATGTGGCCAGGGGTAATAATCTCTCTTTGATAGGTACTGGCCAGGGTCTATCTGTGGACCTTCTTGCCCAAACCTGGACTCTGGGCTTCATAACCAAACCATCAGTAAGGAAGTTTGATGCAGCAGAACGATATCTGAACATTGTGTAACCCATGATTCAGCTACTGTGGCCCATCTCCTTGAAACCTTATTTTAAGTCTTAACTTACCTCATATCTTTCCCCTTGTCTCAGGTTATGTGTTTAAACTGATTTAAAAAATCATGCATCCCCAACATTTTGATTTAATTTGAGTCTTTTTATGCCATGGGAGAGCTTGCCTGGTAGTGTGTTTGGAGGCTACTGGGGCATCAAGGTACCTTCCCACAGGACAGTGGGGAGTCATATGTGGAAGTAGGAAAAATATTAAGGAAACTGAAGCCAGTAACCTAGGGGAGAGAAGACAGTCCTCAAGCCAGGATGGTAGCATAGTGGTACAGAGAATTGATGTTTCCATATATATTTTGAAGGCAAAATCAAGAGGATTTCTAGAAGAATTGAATGGACAAGAATGAAGTAATTATCAACTAAATGGGGGAGTGTTTTAATGAAAGATTAGGAGGGGGGAATACTAAGGATTCTATTTTGGACATGTTAACTTTAAGATGTCAAACATCCACGTGAAGAAAAAATATAGGGGGGCTTCCCTGGTGGCGCAGTGGTTGGGAGTCCGCCTGCCGATGCAGGGAACACGGGTTCGTGCCCCGGTCTGGGAGGATCCCATGTGCCGCGGAGCGGCTGGGCCCGTGAGCCATGGCCGCTGAGCCTGCGCGTCCGGAGCCTGTGCTCCGCGGCGGGGGAGGCCACGGCAGTGAGAGGCCCGCATACCACACACACACAAAAAAAATCATGCCAGTTAGAATATAATTTAAAATATAGTATGCACAGGTATTGGACAGCCACCTGTTCTGTCTGGTAAACATTTACCCACATGCAAATTATGTACCAGCTCCTTTCACTTTCCAGTATGACACTGAAATGACAACAGAGAAATGAAATACAGTGCTGTGTTGTATGATGAATAATTGCATCACCCAGCCGTGGATCTAACCGTCCACTCTTATTCATTTGCAGCCAGCTCTTTTTAGACTCATGCTTATTTCCTCAAGCCATCCGGCTGTAGGCTATATTAATTTGCAGAACAACCCCAAAACCTGTCCTTCACACTGGCAAATACAATACATGCTGCCCCATTCTCAGGCTCCTGCTTTGAATAGCATCTAGAGCTACAACATCCCCCTTGTGGTTATGTTGAGTATTTGCCAGGCTCTTGGGGAAAACACCAGGAACCTCAGTCCCCCCAAAAAAAAGAAAAAAAAAGAAAAAGAGAAAGAAATTGGGTGTATGTCTGTTTGGAGTTTAGGAGAGAAGCCTGGGTTGGCAATATAAAATTTGAAGTCATTAATGTACAGATGGTATTGAAAGTCTGAACTTGGTGAGATCTTCAAACGAGTGAGTACAGAAAAAGAAGTAGTAAAAACTTAGCCCTGTGTCCCCCAGCATTAAGGGTCTGGGGAGAAGAGATGAGCTAACAATAGATATGGGCCCTCTGGTAAGAGAGAACCAAGTGAAGAAAGTATATCAAAGAGAAATTGTAGGGTCAATTATGTCAGTGTTTCCAATAGGTCAAATAAAATGAAGACTAATAATTGGCCATTGGATGTAGAAAAATGATTGTGTATTAGTTTATTTTCTGTCTTTCCCTCCCTAGTAAAAAGAGACTTTTTTTCCTTGTTGTATCACCAGTGCCCAAGTACAATCCTGAAGCACAGCAGTCATTCAGTAATATTAATGAATAAATGAATTATTAACCAACATTCCTGATGCTATCGACTGAGAGCTTTCCTGTGTACTCACTAGGTTAGAGTCCTGACCAAGCAATGAAACTGTGTTAAGTAATACATGCTGATTCTCAGGGTATTTAGTCACGATACTTTTTTCTATTTGTTAAGGTTTTAGTGTAGACTATGTTGTATTTTTTGTTTTTTGTTTTGTCTGCATTGGGTCTTTGTGGCTGCGCGTGGGGTTTCTTCAGTTGTGGCAAGGAGGGGAGCGGGAGCTACTCTCTGTTGCAGTACGTGGGCCTCCCATTGCGGCGCCTCCTGTTGTGGAGTATGGGTTCCAGGCGCATGGGCCTCAGTAGTTGCAGCATGCGTGTTCAGCAGTTGCAGCACGTGGGCCCTAGAGCGTGCGGGATTCAGTAGTTGTGGTACACGGGCTCAGCGGTTGTGGCTCTCAGGCTCCAGAGTGCAGGGTCAGCAGCTGTGGCACACGGGCTTAGCCGCTCTGCAGTATGTGGGATCCTCCCCGACCAGGGATGGAAAGCATGTCCCCTGCATTGGCAGGCAGATCACCAACTACTGCGCCACCAGGGAACTCCTATGGTTTCTTTTTTAAGGGTAGTTTTCCCAGTACAGCTGGAAAGGAAAGCCAAGAAGTTGTCCTTGGTTTCTGATGTCTCGATTCTATAAACGCTGAACCTAGCAGATGTTTATAGCAAGAGCTTTTTATGCAACAAACTTTAATCCATTAACCACAGATAAAATAAACCCATGAATTTTGAACTAAATCCTCTCTTGGGAGAAAGGTAAGGACTTGAACTCCTGGACAGGCCCTCTCATTGCAACAAAGGATGATTGATCCTTTGTCCCTTAATTTGGGTCTGAGCTTTGGGTCTGAGAGTTCCACAGCCTTTGAGACATTCTTTTAAAGTTGAAATTGATGAAAAGATGGTATTAAAACACCGAGATTTCCCCTTAGATTTGAAAAGGCCTGTGGGACCAGTAGAAGTGGGAAGTGCTAATGAGTTGTATTTGAGGTGACCCAATCCTACAGATTCTGATTAACTGGTCTAGGGAAAGGCCAGTTATTATTTAAACAAACAACTTTTTCATAGTAATTCTTATGTACCTTCACATAAGAGATCTTTTGTCCACATGATGTCTGGGTTTCTCTTTGGCAGTTAAATTCTATGGCTATTCAGAAAAATGAGATAAGGTTGATAGAAAGTGAGAAAGAGAAAGACAAAAATCACAGCAAACCTATCCAGTTATGCTGTGATCATCCTCAGAAGGCTAAGGAAGGCTCCTCCTGCCTTTTATTTACCACCCAGAATGTGAGTACAAACGAAGAGGTGTGGCACTGTAGGAATAATCAAGATAATATCTCCAAGTGCAAAAACTGGTTCAAAAAACATATTGACTTTAGGGTACTTCCCATGGCCCCATAACAGACTAGAGAATCTCAGCTGGAATGTGGTTGTGATGCAATTAGGGATGAGGCATAAATGAGTAATAACTGCTTCACTTTGCACTTACTATTTGTCAGGCACTTGTACTTAAGCGCTTTTCATTTCTCAACTCATTAATCCTCAAAACAATCCTTTGAGAGAGGTATCAATATCATTATCACACAATTGTATAAATGGAGAAACTAAGGCCCAGAAAAGATGTGTAACTTAACCCGTTCTCACCACAAGAGAATGGTGGTATAGGTTTAATCCCAAGCCATCTGCTTCTAATGATTATGCTTAAACGTTTCACCATCTTGCATCCCTTTGGTAGTAAAGTCACAAAACAGGACATTTACATCTCCTAAAATATTTATTTTTATCTTTTACATCCTGAACAGAGAGATTATTTTTTATGTCCAAAATATATGTGGGTCTGCTTAGCGGTGCCAAGTCGGACGGTTTTTCACAAGTAGAAAACAAGTACATTTTTCATTAACATGCTTACATTAATGACAAAAAATTAAGAAAAATATGTCTAAATAAAACATATGTGCTCTCCATACGTGGACCAGGAATTTTGTACTTTTGCTTTATCTGAATCCATTACTATAACTGTCCCTCCCCAGTTCTTGTCACCAGTAACATTCACCACTTCACCAAATACATAAATTAAGACTTAATGAGCGCTAATTATGAGCCTCGCCTTTTAAAATCAACCAAAAAACCCTTTTTACTCACTTGACTCTATGAGTGGACTAACTTAAGTTTAAAATGTTCTCCCTATCCTTTGTGGTAAATAAGTGATCCAGACCAGTAATAGGCTACTGACTATCCCTCCAGGCACATAGAACATGCCTGCGAGCTTGATCTGACAAGATAGTTATTACCTTTAGAGGGGCAGGGATGTCACTAACCTTAAAGACGAATTCTTTTTCTATAAAACACTTTCTCATTTTGGGATCTGAATACACTTTTTCCAAGTAACACTGCCAGACTCCAGATTGTGTGACTTATTGCCAGTGGTACAGTGTATTAACTAATACAGTTACCCCACTTTTAATAGGTGGTTAAACTATAAAAATTACTTTGTAAAAGAAAAATTTACGTAGTAGCGAACGTAGGTATCTGCAAGGACTTTCCCCACTACCTCCTTTAGCAAATTTTACAAATAAATAAAGACACCATACCAACTCAGCGTGAATATAATTGACTGGATTAGCGATCCTAACGACCCCTGCAGTACCTAAGCGGGATTGGGAACACACGCGTCCCAGAGTAAGCACAAAACAATTTCGCAGACCAAAGTACAATACTTTGTTTTTTTTTTTCTTTTTTTTCCTTGCGTTATGCGGGCCTCTCACTGTTGTGGCATCTCCCACTGTGGAGCACAGGCTCCGGACGTGCAGGCCCAGCGGCCATGGCTCACGGGCCCAGCCACTCCGCGGCATGTGGGATCCTCCCGGACTGGGGCACGAACCCGTGTCCCCTGCATCGGCAGGCGGACTCCCAACCACTGCGCCACCAGGGAGGCCCCAAAGTACAATACTTTTTAACATCTCCAAGCAATGAAAAAATAAGAGAATCACAGCTCCTTACAAGCGAAAAGTAGGAAGCCCTGAAAAGGGCCTTTTGTTAACGTAACAAACACAAAACTGAACACTAGCCGCCAAAACCATAAAGGGTGCGTCCCTGGCGCTTGAGCGCGTAGACCACATCCATGGCGGTAACGGTCTTGCGCTTGGCGTGCTCGGTGTAAGTGACAGCGTCCCGAATCACGTTCTCCAAGAACACCTTCAGCACCCCGCGAGTCTCCTCGTATATGAGGCCGGAGATGCGCTTGACACCACCACGCCTGGCCAAACGCCGAATGGCTGGCTTAGTGATGCCCTGGATATTGTCGCGCAGCACCTTGCGGTGGCGCTTGGCGCCCCCCTTTCCGAGACCCTTCCCGCCTTTCCCACGACCCGACATAACGTGCACTTGCTGAAGCTCAACAAAACTTTAGCTTCCACGGATCGCGAATGCAAGCTTTTACACGTCCGGTAGCGGACCGAACTGAGAACCTGAAGGCGGGAAGTCCCTCCCTAAGCGGGGGAGGGGAATTTGACAAAAAAAAAGAGGCCTTCTCTGTTCCTTTGTACTGTTTCACACTGTGGTAACTTATTTTGTTACCATGTTTTAAGGCTTTAACAATTGCTTTTGAATGCGCACGCAAAACATTAGTGTTGTGGAAAAGGGCAAAACTCGTTATCTCACCACACAGAGATCACTGCTGGTAGCTAATTTGGTATTTTGTTGAATAGATAAAAGCACATATTCTTTCAAAGAAAATGTATGCAATGCTGCATATGCCCTTTTAAAACCTCTTTACACTGGTGTATTTAACTCAATTTCCCTTGAGTTTTTAATAACAAGTTATTAATGTCTGCTTATTATTCCTTCCCATGAATTCTCCATAGCACAGTTTTAAACAATTCCCTAGCAATTCCTTAATCAGCCAGATTTTTAAAATAATTCTTTTCTCCACCAATGAAATGCCTTTAACATCATACTTGGAGCTATTACTAAAATTGTATTCTGTTCTATATACTGTGGTTTCCAAAATCTATTTGTTACATTCAGAATTAACTTGGGGATAGATGATTTTCTTTTGTCTGGTTGATCAAGTGGTCAGCAAGCAAGATTTATAGATTTATTTGCCAGTGATAAAGTACCCTCTTTAATTTCTGTAATGTACTGGGGACACTAGTTCTTCCTATTGTGTTTCCATTAAAATGTTTTAAACATTGTAACTTGTTTCAAGAAAAAAACGCCTTTGGGTTTTTCAGAGGCACCAGGCATTCCTGCACATAGGAAAGGTATAATCATTTCAAAGAGAACTGAAGAGGTGAAGGAAAAATTTTAAAATTTCCAACTCTTTTCTCTTACAAGAGAAAGGACTCAGGTTTATTTTTCAAAGTGTTCTTGTTTACTCCATGACTAAAAGCCATCTAATCCCTTTAACAATGCTTATCATTTTACAGTTACATATGGGAGGTGGTGGAGCAAGGTGGGGTACATTGAAAGGAGAGGGAACTAGGTGAGAAACTAGAAAATGGAACAACCTACATTGTGCTGTCTCGTAACTCTTAAGTCATCAAGTACTGTCAGCACTCGATCTTAAAATTACCCCAGCTTCCAACTATTAAGGTTGAGATTTTAATAATGCATAAGATTATGGGCCCGTTGCAGCTTAGGGAGGAAGCACTCAAGACACACTGGCTGCGAATTCGGCCTCCTTGTCAACTAATACCTTCGACTTCTGAATCCTCCAGGAGTAATTCCTTACTTCAATTTCATAGGCAGTAAGTAGCCAAGTAGCTTATTGGATAGGACCCAGAAACTAGGTAGCTTATCGGGATAGGATTCAGAGATAAGATTAAAGAAAACCCCAGGAGTTATTGCGATGCTCTGGCTACTTGCAGTGCAATGAGTTATCTTCAAATACTTCTGCAAACCGAAGGATACGTGCATTATTAGTTCTTCACTAAGTACACGAAATCTACTTATAATAGTGAAAGGTAACTGTAACGAACATGCAAAAATGCATGAGAATCAAGGTTCCCCCCAAAACCTACAAACTTTTAATCTAAAGCTATACTTACACATTCAAGAAAACATGAAACATTTCAAAAGAGACCTAACAACGGACAAGCTCTTTTTTGGAAAGTGTAGGTGGCTCTGAAAAGAGCCATTGAGTGTGAGAAACTGATCAACCGCTCTGCAATCAGTGACTCACTTGGAGCTGGTGTACTTGGTGACAGCCTTGGTGCCCTCAGACACGGCGTGCTTGGCCAGCTCGCCGGGCAGCAGCAGGCGCACGGCCGTCTGGATCTCCCTGGAGGTGATGGTCGAGCGCTTGTTGTAATGCGCCAAGCGGGACGCCTCGCCCGCGATGCGTTCGAAAATGTCGTTAACGAACGAATTCATGATGCCCATGGCTTTAGACGAGATACCTGTGTCCGGGTGGACCTGCTTCAGCACCTTGTACACGTACACAGAGTAGCTTTCCTTGCGGCTGCGCTTGCGCTTCTTACCATCTTTTTTCTGAGCCTTGGTCACCGCCTTCTTAGAACCCTTCTTCGGGGCAGGAGTGGACTTGGCAAACTCAGGCATGGCGAAGAAACGCGATACAAGGGATAAACGAAAAATCAGGACACCAACAGGTACCTCTTTAACAACAAGGCTTTATGCAAATGAGGTGCAGTATAGGTTTCTAGTGATTGGTGATTCTTCTCCAGTGCAGTCATAGCTCAGTTTTGCCCAATCAAGGTAGGCATCCTGCATAGTCGCGTTTCCATTGGTCTAAGTGAAAGTAAAATGTTAGCCAATCGTATAGCTTTCTTTTCGCGCCCAGCAGGGGCTATAAAAGGTGCGTTTTAAAGTTTTTGTGTCAGTTATCTTTGGAAGCGTCGGTTGATGTTGAGATATGTCTGGGCGAGGCAAGCAGGGGGGCAAGGCTCGCGCCAAGGCTAAGACCCGCTCTTCGCGGGCTGGGCTCCAATTCCCCGTGGGCCGAGTGCACCGGCTGCTCCGCAAAGGCAATTACGCCGAAAGGGTCGGGGCCGGCGCTCCGGTGTACTTGGCGGCGGTGCTGGAGTACCTGACGGCAGAGATCCTGGAGCTGGCGGGTAACGCGGCCCGCGACAACAAGAAGACGCGTATCATCCCGCGTCACCTGCAGCTGGCTATCCGTAACGACGAGGAGCTTAACAAGCTGTTGGGTAAAGTCACCATCGCGCAGGGCGGCGTCCTGCCCAACATCCAGGCTGTGCTGCTGCCCAAGAAGACCGAGAGCCACCACAAGGCCAAGTAGGGACCAAGTTTGGAAGCAACAAAAGGCTCTTTTCAGAGCCACTTCTATCATCATAAAAAAGGTGACACGCCTTGATACATTTTTAACTTGTTCTGTGAAGTACAATACTGTTAGTCTCCAGTTAGGCTTCAGTCCTAGGGTATTCTCGTCTCTCGTGTTCCATATTTCAGAGCTGCTACTTAGGAGTCGTTGTCAACAAAATTGATATTTGTGTTAGACTAATTTCAAAGTCAAGCTGCAAGGTTATTGACTCATACCTGTTTAGGTCCATATGTGGGACTTAGGTAAGTGGCATAAGTGAGTTTTTACGAAGCCAAAACATCTGTTGGAGGGGCCCCGAAGTGAATAATATTTTGTGAATAATACTCATTTGGGGTGTCAGTAGAAAGACAGTAAATCCTGCATCTTAAAAAATTTGCTTTTAGACTTTTAAAATGCTACGATACCCAGTCGTTACTTTGGCTTGTTTTCAACAAATATCACGCACTTGGATACCATGCATTAAGAATACAATGTTAATGAGACGCCGCCGGTCCTAAAGAAAATCTAATGGGGAGAAACAAAAGTAAATAAAGAACAATGTAGCAAGATAAGTAAGCTCAGAATATAAGGGGAGCAAAGAGGAGTAAGATCTGTGAGAGGTAACACTTGGTCTGAGGATTAAAGGAAGTCGGGAAATAGAGGAAAGTGTAGGGATTCCAGCAGAAAATGAGCGTCACTAAATTCATGGCTTGTGGTATGTGCAGGCAAATGACAAAAAGTTCGATACTGGCAAATAAGGCAGAGTGGTCACAAGAGAGGAAGAGCCAGAGGGATCTCTAGGCCAGTCCTTTGGTTTCAAATGCTTTATATATACTAATGACTTCCAAATCTATATCCATCCCAGACTTATCTCAAGTTCAGACATACACATACATCTACTTTCTGATATTCTTGTGGATCTCCGGGAAATTCAAAATGTATATCCCAGACTGAACATCATCATCACTACTTTCCCAGTGAATCTTATCTTAGTACTTGGCATCACCATCTACCCATTAGCATAAGCCAAAATGGTCTGGTGTCTTGAGTATTCATTTTTGTGAGCCATTACTATAGCAAAAATCCAAGTTCCTTGTATGGAATGATGAAATTATGTTGAAATTCCAGAAAAGTTTAGGTAGAAGGATAACACTACCGGAGTTCAGCACATAGTTTAGAGACATGGAATATTTGTATCCACATAATTAGAAATGTACACATAACTAGGACTGCTCATTTCCCCTGAATAAATCTTCAAATGAGGACTGAAAGATTACTTGGGGAAGCAATATACTGACTGCATATATTCAGGGGAGGGTGCCCTACCCAGCCAGCAGAAAGAGCCATCTCTGTTGTGGGCCCCTCTTAATATCTCAGTTCCCCAAGCCAGAAGGCCCTGTTTACACACTCAAGAATACCAATCTGATTGATTAGAAATTGGCCTTAGATATGCCCGGGGCGGGGGTGGGGGACGACTGCTTCCCATCAAATCTTTTTTCCCATAGGAAGGCTGATTCCTGGGAGGGGACACTCAATTACTTTTTGCTTAAGGTGTTAATCCAAGTAGAAAGCATTAGATAATTTTAACTTGGTAAAATATTAGCATCACCCTAAATCCCATGTGGAAATGATAGGTCCTACATTTCACAAGCCCCCTCAGAAAAGGAATGGGCATGATTACATCTAACAGTCTAATCGTAGCAGTAGTGTTTCCTAAGAGAGAAATTAGGAATGTAAGGAAGATCTAACCACTTGTTTTACTAAGTTGGGAGATAGAAATAACACATACACCTGGGTACTTAAATCACAATGTATAAAGTTCACCCGTCTCCCACAAGGAAAGCTAGTAGCAATAATTAGCAGGGAAACAGTCCTTTTTCAGTGTGCATGTAGGCGGCTCTGAAAAGAGCCTTTTGGGGTGGATGGGAGACCTTCAGGCTCACGCCCTCTCCCCGCGGATACGGCGAGCAAGCTGGATGTCCTTGGGCATGATGGTGACGCGCTTGGCGTGGATAGCACACAAGTTGGTGTCCTCGAAGAGCCCCACCAGGTAGGCCTCGCACGCCTCCTGCAGCGCCATCACGGCCGAGCTCTGGAAGCGCAGATCGGCCTTGAAGTCCTGCGCGATCTCGCGCACCAGGCGCTGGAACGGCAGCTTGCGGATCAGCAGCTCCGTGGACTTCTGGTAGCGGCGGATCTCGCGCAGGGCCACCGTGCCGGGCCGGTAGCGGTGCGGCTTCTTCACGCCGCCCGTGGCCGGCGCGCTCTTGCGGGCCGCCTTGGTGGCCAGCTGCTTACGCGGCGCCTTGCCGCCGGTGGACTTGCGAGCGGTCTGCTTAGTGCGAGCCATGACTAGATGCTTCAGCGAGCATAAAGGCGCCCCCTAGCCACCTATTTATAGCGAGAGTCACAAGCTGATTGGACAAAAGGAGACCAGGACTATCCAACCGGTAACCGGATTGGTTAGGACTCGAAAATTTTATTTGTTGTTCCCCCAATCCTCCGATAGTGTCAGTTATCTGTGACCTCAATTTTTTTCATTTTTCCTGTAAAGTTGTTTGCTCTGTAACAGCAATTTCCAGTAGAAATAAATACAAGCTACATAAGAAACAGAAACTTTTCTAGCAACATTAGAACAAAATAAAAACAGAAGAAATTATTTTTAATAGTATTCTGTTTAACCCCATATATCTAAAATATTCATTTCAACATGTAATCAATATAATTGTTAGATATTTCACATTTTTTTTATTTTGCACTGTTTGAAATCCAGTGTGTATATTACATGTCCACTACTTTGTTCAAACTAGCCACATATCCAGTGATCAGTGGCCACAATTGGTTAATAGCAGCGCTGTACCATCACCCCTCAGCTTTCCTTCAAACACGAATTTTAAGAACTTTAAAATTTTTTTCAGTACGTACAATCTGGTTTGCATGTGAGGAATTAAAGGGTTAATAACTTCATAGGGAAACTCATCCTTACATGAACTTCTTTTCATTGTTAGTTAATATAAAACAATTCCATTGCAGCACAATTTATATTTCTGTTTTAGGAATGTAATTCCTTTGTTTTTAAAGAATCTAATTCCCCACCAGTAACCTATGTTTCCTGCAAGCTACACACCTCTTGAGTTTGCATCTTACATCCAATAGTTCCTTAGCAACTGGCAGAACCTTAGGAGAGTCTCCTTGCCTGGCATCTGATACATCTGATCCTCCCCCTCCCCCCAGGGCCTAGAAATTTCCAAGGCAAGCTATTTTTTTTTTTAAGGAAAAAATGATCTAATCCCATCAGTACAGGGTCTTTTAACAATAAAAAGACTAAGAAAACGGCATTTTAAACTAGAATTTAGCATTTTTATCCTGAAACGAATGATCATCGACTTATAGACACCTGTTTGTATGGATGGGTGCAAGGGAGCTTGGAAAATACTTGAGAACCCAATAATAAACAATGACTATAATTGTCAGGCACCTCAGCTAACTTTTCCAATAAGAAGCCTGAGTATTTAAATTTTCCTTAATCAGCAATGTAAAAGGTAATGTACACTGATGTGAAATTAGGTCTTTCTCAGAAATCTTACAGCTCCAAAAATGGCCTGACCTAAGATACAGGCTTGGTTTGATCCCTGAACACTCAGGATGTCTAGAACCCAGAAAACAAGTGTCTTAAAACTGCCACAGAAAGACACATTGACCTTCCACCAGAAGTTTGTGTTTTCCAGAGGCTCATGATGGGTAGAGGTGAAGGTGACAATACTTAAGAATGACTCACTCCACATAACCCCTCAAATCTGCCAATGCTGATGAATCAGTTTATAGGTTATTTCACACACTTTAACATGGAGTGTAAATCACTTCCTAACACAAGTTTTGAGGTTGGTATAATTCACCTATAATGGTCTTAAGTATTATCTAGAGTATAAGCTTTATAAACCTAGTGCTCAGTTCTTCCCAAAAAACTGTAGGTGGCTCTGAAAAGAGCCTTTGGTTTGAGAAGCTTGAGCTGCATTAAACTAATCCAGACTTCTATTTGCCTTTTGCCTTGTGGTGGCTCTCGGTCTTCTTGGGCAGCAGCACAGCCTGGATATTGGGCAGAACGCCGCCCTGCGCGATGGTGACTTTGCCCAGCAGCTTGTTGAGCTCCTCGTCGTTGCGGATGGCCAGCTGCAGGTGGCGCGGGATGATACGCGTCTTCTTGTTGTCGCGGGCCGCGTTGCCCGCCAGCTCCAGGATCTCAGCCGTCAGGTACTCCAGCACCGCCGCAAGGTACACCGGCGCGCCGGCCCCGACCCGCTCGGCGTAGTTGCCCTTACGGAGCAGGCGGTGCACTCGGCCCACGGGAAACTGAAGCCCGGCCCGCGAAGAGCGAGTCTTAGCCTTGGCGCGAGCCTTGCCCCCTTGTTTGCCTCGCCCGGACATGGTTTGGAATCAACAACCACTATCAAAGATAAGCAAAAACTTAAAAACGCATATTTTATAGGCCCTGCTAGGCGCGAAAAGGAAGCTATACGATTGGCTAACATTTTACTTTCATTTAGGCCAATGGAAACGCGACTATGCAGGATGCCTACCTTGATTGGGCAAAACTGATCTATGACGTCATTGGAGAAAAATCACCAATCACCAGAAACCTTTATCCCACCTCATTTGCATAAACCCTTGTTGTTAAAAAAGTGCCTTTTACTTCCCTGGTCCTTTGTTTCATTTCGATCGCAGTACTTCAGCATGCCTGAGCCTGCCAAGTTCACTCCTGCCCGGAAGAAGGGTTCTAAGAAGGCGGTGACCAAGGCCCAGAAAAAAGATGGTAAGAAGCGCAAGCGCAGCCGCAAGGAAAGCTACTCCGTGTACGTGTACAAGGTGCTGAAGCAGGTCCACCCGGACACCGGTATCTCGTCTAAAGCCATGGGCATCATGAATTCGTTCGTTAACGACATTTTCGAACGCATCGCGGGCGAGGCGTCCCGCTTGGCGCATTACAACAAGCGCTCGACCATCACCTCCAGGGAGATCCAGACGGCCGTGCGCCTGCTGCTGCCCGGCGAGCTGGCCAAGCACGCCGTGTCTGAGGGCACCAAGGCTGTCACCAAGTATACCAGCTCCAAGTAAATGTGTTTATAGGCGTTACCAAACCCAAAGGCTCTTTTCAGAGCTACTTAACACTTCTCATGAAAGAGCTGGGGCGCCTTGCCTGTCATTTCCGTGTGGGGGAGGAGGGGAGGTGGCGGGGAGAGAGGAGGTGTCTTTGCTGGATTTGGGTAATATTTGAAGAGGTGACGTTTAACCCAAATTTGGTGTTTATCTGACAAATGTTCAGACAAGGAAGTGCATTTTGGCGAGCACTTCTGGTGTCAACACTACGTTCTTTGATTCATATAGCCCGTCTCCCCAGGTTTTGACTGGACAGACAATACCTGAAAACCTCGAGAACAACAATGACGCCAGGGAAATCCAGGAAGTCACTGGACTGGTTCCCTTTAGATACTAGTTTAATTTCACAGTTAGGAAGCCCCAGGTTAAAATGTTTGCAGTTTAGCACATTCTATAAGTGCGCCTGGGAGCCTGTAAGCATTGTGAATGGAAGCCATTTTTACGTGTACAGGAACTCCAGATCCATTCACTGCATAGTCCTTTTTCTCGTATCACTTTACAGCAGACCACGATGCCACACGCTAGTGCAGGAACTAAGGAACAAGACTTCAGCTACGATACGAGATCTGAACAGATAACTCCTTAAAAGAAAAAATAGGTACCCCTGAAAAGAGCTTTTACAATTGAAAACAGCAATACAAGACGCAATGCAGTCAGCCTCCCAAGCCATAGTGGGTGTGTCCCTGGAGCTTGAGAGAACAGTCTACAGCGGTGACCGCCTTGCCCTTGGCACGCTGGGTGTAGGTTATGGCGTCATGGTCACATTTCATAGTAAGACCTTCAGCACCCCGCGGGTCTCTGTAGACAAGACCAGAGATGCACTTGACTCCACCGCGGCAGGCCAGGCGCCGGATGGCGGGCCTGGTGATACCCTGGATCTTGGCACACAGGACCTTACCGTGGCTCTTAGCACCACCATTAACACTAGCCCCTCCCCGCCTTGCCGCGGCCTTGCCATGTTGAGAGTACAGATAAATCGAAACTCTAAAGACAACAGTGGAAAAAAGGTGTACTCAAGGCGGGGGGGCGGGGGGGGGGCGGGCAGACGTTTATTTGAATTCTAGAGAAAATTAAAAACTACAGAAACTCGAGAGGGAAAGACTCGCATTTCTCGTTCCGCCCCCTTCCTTGTTCCAAACAAAGGCGCAACTCCCGAAGTAGCTGAGTTCATCTTGGATAAGGTGAGGCCTAAGGTGCGGTGCCCTTGGAGGGAAGAAAAGGTGCTGTGGACTCAGATGTATTTTAGGCACGAAAAAGAGATTAACCAGAGAATGCGGAATGTGCTGGATGGCCTAGGGGCAGGGGTGGATGGAGGCTCTTTTTAATTGTGCCCGTTTTAAGCACTTTGAATTTTGAATCATATGTACACATTGTCCATAAATAAACAAACAAAACACAGGTAAGATAATAAATGCTTCAGTAGAGATGTGCATGGAAAGCCCAAGGAGCACAGAATAAATAATATTACCAATAAAGGAGGGTGGTGTACAAAACAGCATTCTGGGTATTTGAAGTAAAAAAGTGGATATCACATTCAAGGCATTAGAAATGGTTAGTGGGACTAAAGTCTACAGGAGTGGGCTTCTCAAAACGATGACAGGATTTCAGTATAAAACCACTAGCTATGAACCATGAAACGTTTATCAAATAAGATTCTGAAGTATTCACGATTCAAGATGCCAATTTAGTGTTGTATGGTTATTTAAATGAAGCAGACTCACTTTACTTGTTAAGTTAATCTAGCAGTCATAGGAGTTTCTTTGTTCCCCTGAGCATGAAGGAGAAAAAGAAAACACCATTGGTCCATTTTGGAAATAGTAGTCATCTTTTTAACCAGCTAAATAGAGATGTCAAATACAACATTGTTACCTTTGCAGCCAGCCAGGGGATCAGAATTGCAAACTGCATAGATCTATATCTAAGGAATATGCAACAATGTCTAATGTTTGGACTTCCTAGGAGATCTCTTACAAATCAAATGAGACTCCCACATTTTTATTAACTGAGAACAGACAACTCGGTGGTAGTTTTGAATACCGGCAGAGAATTCCATATTGGACAGGAGTAAGAGAATCTGACAACTCACATTCTTTTGACTACTTTTATGAAGGAGGATTGGAACTGTAATTTCAGGGTAGAGGAACATCTTACTTTTTTGAGAATCATTAATTATAGACTTTCATTTTTAAGGTTAGG